AGAATCTATGACAAAGGTGCACATTTGGCCATCCAGCTTTCCTGTCACATAGACACTGTGTGTGTGCTTGGCATTTACACCTAGCTGTTGGACTTTCATGATGGGGGTTGGTGGGCGTCGCTCAACACCCACCACTACTGGTCTCCTTGAGGCCGACTTGTTGGTAATATTCTTCCTACATTGGCTCCTCAAATGTCCGTGCTTTCCACAGTTCCAACAGCCTTTCTGGGTAGCAGCCTTTCCTGCTGACCAATTATGTGTCAAAACGGTTCGCATCCAACAGGACTCTGAAAGGTTGTGTGAAACTTGTAATGAAAATTTTGAAATCAGAATAAATATTCTTTGGATAGACAACATTTCTAAGCCTCAAAATATATAGCTGTACGAAGTTAAAATTCAACCTATGTATTGGTAGCCCGATTACATTTTTGCATATATCATTATATAAATTATGTAGTTTTGGAAGCAAATTTTCACCTTGACTCTAACCACAATGAGCATTAGAAACATTAAATATCTCATAAAATAATTAAACTGGAATGGAGAATGGAGATAGGGGCGGGGAAGAGGTTTAACTATATCTGGGCCGTTCCGGAAACGTAACATTTTAATGGAAATTGTGGTATACAAACGCATATTCAGTATTTCCTATTTTCTTTAGTTAAACATGTTAATATTTCATATTCAAATAGAATTTTCGCGCATTCATTTTTCTTGCTCTTTCTAAGGTTTTAACAACAGAATGCTGTTCAAGGGATTATATTAGCTTCCTTTAGGCCTAGTCACTTTTTCTTCCGGGCCAATCTCCTATTGCTGTTCAAGGGATTATATTAGCTTCCTTTAGGCATAGTCACCTTTTTTCCGGGCCAATCTCCTATTGCTGTTCAAGGGATTATATTAGCTTCCTTTAGGCCTAGTCACCTTTTCTTCCGGGCCAATCTCCTATTGTGTCAAGTGCATTTTCTTGTGGTGAAGACTGTTATAAAATAGAACACACTAAGTAAAGGTGGATGGTGATATTTTCGACTGAAAGGTCAGGTGATAACTTCAACAATATATCCTCCTTATTTTTTCTGTTGGAATTATCATCAGTAGAGTGGGTAGCACAAGCGCACTTAGCGGATTATCTTTATAGAATATTGTACCTAATGCAGGAACAAGTCTTATTCTGGAACAAATCTAGAGTTATAGCCAGTTAATTTCCAGTAGAAGTGCTGTCTCTAACCATGTGTACCCGTTCACTTTGATTTTTTTTTAAATACATAAAGATTATTTTACCCTAATGCAGGAACAAGTCTTATTCTGGAACAAATCTGAAGCCAGTTAATTTCCAGTAGAAGTGCTGTCTCTAACCATGTGTACCCGTTCACTTTGATTTTTTTTTAAATACATAAAGACTATTTTACACTTTGCCACACATTATTTCCAGTCTTTTTCTTTCTTCAAATTCAGTCAGAGTCAACTCCATTTCCTGATTGTTTCTCCTGTTATTTGTGGTTGTTACCCGAAAGTTAAATCAGTGTGGCTGAAAATACAACACAATGATTACGTAATAACAGGAATTAACTATTTTAAAATAACCCATTTTAAACATAATTCAAGAAAAATTTCCAACCCATTTTCATTTATTTCTACTTCAAGTACTCGTAGTGTTTTAACAAATACAATTTTCAAAACCGTTGCATAAAATTGGGGTTTAAAATTTTTCTTAATTTGGAAATTCTTCTTTCATTATTAAGAGATTAATCGTAGCCTTACATAAGCAGGAGTGTTTATTTGTTTGTTTCTAAAGAATGATCCACGTGTTAGTTCAGTTTTGTAAAAACAATGAAGTTGCATACTGTAAGTACCACGAATGCAATGTCTTTAATCTGTAACTTTCCTATGTCACTTCTGACAATGGAAATAACATAATGCTTATAGATCACGTATGTGTAAAGCAGTTTGAACATTACTTAACCTCTTTCCTGTAATTACTAGAGAAATTTGTTAATTAAAGCTCCAAAGTGTCAAAGTTTCCTATATATTAGGCTTATAACAACCGCGCCATCTAATAAGTTATTTAGTGCCGTAATAAAAGTAAACAAACATGAGCTTTCACTCAGCTTCATGCACGAGGTAATAAAGAGAAGTTATAACACGTGATTAGCTAGGTGATCCTATAATATATATATAAAAGTAAAGAGAGAATTGACCTAAATATGTGACTCTATCAACACTATAAAATTTTACAAAGAGATGGATTCTGTGGATTACTGCATGAAAATCACACCTTTTAAGGACAATCTCGATTTAATATTCATTGACTTTTTTTCCTGCTATAATAATCAATCCATTATTGATGACACAGTTACTGAACTAATAAGTCCTAACGCGTCACCTTGTGAGATGTACATAAGTTAACGTAAACCACGCGAGCAATAAATATAGAGTCACGTTTAGGCCAGCCAGTTTCAGGATCACACTAGTAACATGACCGGAGACTTGAAACAACTATCTCTAGAACTGGCATTTGCGGCGCTGTGTATCGTTTGGCTGACGAGCAGTGCTGGAAGTTCAGAAGAGAACAAGAAGAAAGATTACAACAAGTAAGTCCAAATATACTGAAATATAAAATAAAAACAAAATTAAGATTAATATAACGATTTCACTATTCCAGTCAGTTGTTTAAAAACACAAATAACACATGCTTTTTTCTCATGATAGATATGTTTAGAATTTGTGCACACTGGGGCAATAAATAATATGAAATTGAAAAAAAAATATGGTCATCAATAAGTGAAGCACTTGTGAAACGTATAATTGTATTTGTTTTTTCCTCAATTCTGTAATTATGGAGTTTCATCAAGTACCGACGGTTTCAAGTATGAATTAAATAATATCAAAATTATATAATATGTTTATTAGATTCGTTTTTTTTTATGTTAAGCACTAAGTTACACAAAGATCTATCTGTACTCTTCTCACCACGGGTATCGAAACCCGGTTTCTAGCGTTGTAAAGTCCGCAGATATACCGCTGTGCCACTGGGGGCATTAGATTCGGTATTATTTTAACGAATGGAGGGTATACTGGGGAAGTAGAGGACATTTAAAAAATACTATACTTCAGAAAAAAAATTTTTTTTCGTTTCCGACGTTTCGCCTATAACCTAAGGCTGTTTCTAGAAGCTGCTTTAACTTAAGCTACGTTTAATAACTCAGTCGATTTTTTGTATCTTTGTTTGTAATAAGCAGAAAGCTACAGTTGAAGCTTGTTTACATTGGTTAAAATAATTTTGAGCCTTTTAGGTGAAACGTTGGAAATAATAAAATATGCATTTCCTGGAATTAAGTCATATGTTTTGTTTATTTGTTTGTATATGTTTTTTGAGAAAAAAAAAATATTTTTCAGTTATAATAATCAAGTCGATATTTGTGTAACTGGTACTAAACTAGATAGTAGGCTATTCACCTATCCATCTCACCGAATGTACTTTCACACCAACAGAAAATATTAATTTAGTGTACAGCCGAGCGTACGCGACCCAGTGGTTAATGTGTCCAAATGTGGAGCTGAGGTTTCGTGGTTCATGTCCCGTTACCGCCAAAGTAATAAAACAACAAACCGCATCCCACACTTTAACGCTGTCCGTACATTATAAGAGTTACAGTCAAATCCCACTATTCAGTCTGACAAGGGTAGCCCAAAAGTTGACTTTGGGTGGTTTGGACTAGCTGTCTTCCCTTTAGTCTATCACATTAAAAATTGGGGTCAACTAGCGCAAATAGCCCTAATATCACGTTGGGCAAAATTCAAGCAAAGAAATCTACTGTCAGTGCATCACTTGAATTAGGTTTATTCGTATTTAAAAAGCATATGGCAAATACTCTATGCTTCATATTCAGTTTTTCCTGTGAAAATTGTAACGTTCATAATAAGTGCTATGTTTAGTCTTTTCGTTTGTACTCCTAATTTGCAAAGTATAAATTGTGGTGTTTTAGTACATCAGCCTAACATCGAGTGCTTGTAGTTAAGACCAGAATGATTTAACTAAAATCATAAATATGTAATAATATGAATTAAAAAAAAATCATATATATATCTTTAAACAACAAAAAACAAAAAAAAACAAGTAGTTATAATTAAAGGATGTGTTCTGCGAATCTTATTTTCAACATGTTGTAGTAGCGTTGTTCTCGCACTGACGGGTTCTTTTAAATTATTCGGTGAATATAATACAATATCCAGTCCGCGTAACGATAGTAAATCACTTTATTTCCTACTTTAAAGTGTCTACAAACTTGAACATTTGTATACTACCGTAAATTGTTGTAGGCCTATGTAACAATGAGGTTAACTAACGTATAACAAGTCAACTTACTTGTTCAAAGTAACTGCGATAGCTAACAAACTGACTAGTTCACTCTTCATCTTGAAATAATCCTACCTACTATCTTCTTGACTATCTTTCAACTAACTCACTTACTAATGTAATGACATTTCAATGACTTCACAGAACGTCGTATTTATAATCTACGTTTAAATAAGCTTACATCCTTACGCCACATCCTTAGAACTACCTAACAGGTGTTTTTGGTCTATTTCATTAAACTTTTCGATCTTAACGTTATCATTAAAGTCGCAGCTCTTTTTAATTAACATTTAACTCATAACATTAAAAGTATAGTTTTATACAGTATTTAATATTTTACTAGGAGCATAATTCGTTGTTTCAGTCATGGATAAGGATGATTCTGATGCTCAATATTTGTGCTTATTATAAAAAGAAAGTGGTACGTAATAAGTATGGTGCGTTAAAATACTGTGTGGATAAGCCATAAATAATTGACTCAGCACTAAAAAAGTAGGCTTACCGTACTCTTAAGTCTATGCTTCCGCTTGCTTTTGTAGTGTTTCACTCCTGTAACTTTCCTCACCATGCAGAACTGCCTCAGCCAAAAGTTGTTATTTTTGTTTTGCAAAAGTCAACGAGGTTATGAGAGCTGTAGTGACTCCCCCACTTCCATGTTAAATGTTTTGTTTTTGATTTTTGCTCGTCACATAGTTATGTCTTAAGGTGTAGACAGACGGTCGTTGCAAGTTTACTTATTTCGGTCCGAATATTTTTCAAGATAAAAGAAAAACAATTGTTGTTTACAAATATCGGTTTATGTTTCGCATAATCTGAGTAGTGAGTAAGAGTATTGACGTTCATTGTGGCCATCTTTGATAAATTTGCGTCGTTTTGGGCGATAAAAATACTCGTATCGTTTTATGGTGCTAATTTTTCTGAGTTTTGTTATTGTAAGAAAGAGCTACGATGTTGGGTTTTATTTTGTGTTAAAAAGAAGTCACACTTGAAAATCAAATACTGTATACTGAAAAAAAGGAGTATATTATATTTTGATTTTGACAATAACTTATTTGAATAAGAAAACTATGTTGTTCATTGGGGATGAATATTTTTTTATTTATCCAGAAGTTATAGCTTATTTAGTTGCAAAATCCATTACTAAATGTTCTAATAAGTCGTTGTGAGTGGCTGTCTGTAATCCTAAAGACATATCAGGTAGGGCAGGTTAGAAATGGCGGATCACATAGTATTTTGAGAGTGGTTATAGGGGCCGGACACTAATTTCTTGTTGAAAACAAACGTATTATGGCTGTATGCAAGTTTATTAGTAGCAAACGCCAGTATAATACAATTATATGTAACTGATATTAAGCAACTAAACCTCAGAGTCATATGTACTAGAAATACGTACTATGTTTAGCTTCATTATCTATATATTTTCCTTTTTTTTCTTCTTTTTTTTGCCTGGAGGTTGTGGGCCGGTACCCTGCGGGCCTGCAGTTGGACAACTCAGGTCTAGGCCATTGACCCTCACGTTACCGATAAAACTTTTACAATAAAGTTCACGACTGAGATAACGATACTTAAATTGTGTAGGTCAATTTTCTGTTTTCTTCGTATACCTACCGTGTAATAATAATAATAAAGATCAATAAAGCCTCAGGATATCGTACAGAAGGAACAGCCGGGAGCATAGATTGTTACATTTGAATGACACTTCAGTTCTGCTTCTTCCTTTATTATTACAACAAACAGACAGTGACCATAAAGATGAGTTAGATTCAAAACTCTTTATCTGATACAAAGTGTTTTCAGATATACGTCGTGATAAACATGGTTGGTTTGTTTGGCTTTCACGTAGAGATACACAAAAATGTTTTACAAGGTTTATTTTTTCAAAACTTCAAGTAGCCATCTTGAACAACTTCATTGACTTTAGTGGTGGCACTATAATATAAAATAGTAAGAGTTATTACTTGTGTATCAGTGTTTGAGAACAAATATTCTCAAAAATAATTGGACGAAAGAAAAAAAAAAAAGACACTGAAGCGCTGACGAAAAGTTTTAGGTAAGCGAAGCAAGGTCGGAGTTTGTTACTGGTTGTGGTCGTACGTCATTACAACCGGTTATACGTATACTGAGGATGGCCGGAGCTGAGTGCTCGTGAGTTTCCTAGGTAACGTTTCCATTTATGACCCTTGTAATAAATTAAAAAAAAACAAAGATGTTTTACGATAACTTAAAACACGCTTCTTTTATATTTTTAACTTGAATAATATCGCCATGATATTATCTATATCATATACTGCAGCTTTTAGCTTTTGTTTTTGTTTGTTTTAGAGCAAAGCCATACGGGGCTACGCATGGAATCGAACCACGTATTTTAGCGTTTTAAGTCAGTAAATTTACCGCTGTCCCAAGCTTTTGTGCACGAGACTTTATTTTGAACAGATGGTCAAAACCTTATCCTGATCTGGACTGGGCACTGTTGGAAGGACTCTTATTAATAGTCCAAGCGATTTTGTTTTAAATTTTAACTCTTAAATGTAATGTAGCGATTAAAATTGTGCATAATAAAGCAATATTTGTCCAAATGTTTTTATCCAAATGGCTCCTCTGCTTCATGGGGATATCTGTACTTTGACTAACACAGGGGTTGAACCCTGAATCCTAGCGTTATAAGCTCTCATTGTCCTTAATCTAAATTAAGCTTTGCACTGGCAGATGGGTATTTTCGAGATTTTTACGTTTTAATTACTTTAATTTCACTTCAGATGAGTCCCTGTTTGTCTCTTTTAACTTCTTCACTGTCATGTCGGTCCGGCGCTTTACTCACAATCTGAGGGTCGCGGGTTCGAATGTCCGTCCCACCAAACATGCTCGCCCTTTCAGCCGTGGGGGCGTTATAATGTGACGGTCAATCCCACTATTCGTTGGTAAAAGAGTAGCACAAATGTTGGCGGTGGATGGTGATGACTAGCTTTAGTCATTTCACTGCTAACTTAGAGTAGGCTAGCGCAGATAGCCCTCATGTAGCTTTGCGCGAAATTCAAAACAAACAAACAAACTATCATGTAATTTCTTAGATACAATTTATTTACTTCTATCCAAGAAGAAACTTGAAGTGAGAACGGTTAAATCGTTTGAGCTTATTTGTGGATTTGATGTTTTCCGTTGATTTTCTTTGCATTTAGTAATTAGCTGTAATATAAAAACTTTTATTTACAGTTTCAAGGTACTGAGAGCGTATCCAGCTAAGAAACAGCATGTTGAACTATTACATGATTTGGCTGAGACTTACGATCCCGGCGTAAGTATTATTATTTTTTTTCCAGATTCTAATATAGCAAAATAAATTCAGTTTAATATGGTTTTATCGAAGTTGTTATTCATGTGTTATCATATTAAAGCAAAGTAACCAGTTTGTATTTACGCTGACGTAACATGCATGCATACTCCATCATTTAGCAGTCACATGTTAATAAATTTTGATAAAAGAAAATATGTGGTTTCCGGTTGTTACATGACATAAAAGTTCTGAAATGGGTCCTCCAGCATCTTTTACGAAAATTCATAAAAGTTCTAAATAGTAACGAGTTTGTTTTATCGCAAGAATATTCATAGGTGGGACAGACGGATTTACAACGATAGACTCCGAGGTTCGATTCCCCGCGGTGGATACAGCAGATAGCCAAATGTCGCTCTGCTCTCAGGCAAAGGCCCGGCATGGCCAGGTGGTTAGGGCGCTTGACTCGCAATCTGAGGGTCGCGGTTTCGAATCCTCGTCCCGCCAAACATGCTCGCCCTTTTAGCCGTGGGGGCGTTATAATGTGACGGTTAATCTCACTATCCGTTGGTTAAAGAATAGCCCAAGAGTTGGCGGTGGGTGGTGATGACTAGCTGCCTTCCCTCTAGTCTTTCACTGCTAAATTAGGGTCGGCTAGTGCCTCATTCACGTAATTAAAGTTGTAAAGCTAAAATGGCTGCCAAATTCGAACCGTTTGACCGAATGGGGGTACACATTAATGAATCTACAAAATTTCATCGAAATTGGTTCAGCCAATTTCTAAAAACAACTTATAACACCAGACAGATGGTCAACTTTGCTATATGCATGGATAACCTAGTTTACTGTACATGTTAATGGTAATGAAAAACAATTATATTACTTTTAAAAGATTCTAGAACATATAAAATATTCGAAGTACTATTGGAATTACAAGTTTCAGCTGAGTATAGTGCTATTTATATTATGAAACTGAAGGTTGACTTCTGGGTTAGACCATCGTATATCAACCGGTCTGTGGACATCATGGTATCGACGGAGCGCTACCTGGTGGTGGAAGAATTGTTGTCAAACAATAGCATACAGAAAGAAGTCATGATTGAAAATGTAGCAAAGTATGTATTAGTTTAAAAACAATTTTCTCAGTTAACAATTCACAGAGAAGATAATATATATTAATCATTCCCATCCGTTGTGAAGGTCCATCAAGAACCAAAAATTTTCAAGTTGTAAGGTTAATGAATTAATCCTTCCCTCCCGAAGGTCCATCAAGAACCATAAAATTGCCAACTTATGAGATTAATAAAGTAATCCTTCCCACACGTTGCGAAGTACCATCAAGAACAAGCATCTGCCAAATTGTATGATAATGAATAAGGAAAAACAACAAACAAACAGTTTTTCGTTACGTTTAGTATTGAATTCCTGAAATAAGTTATAATGATGACAAGTCAAAAGGTAGTTGCTTGATGAAGTCCAGTAATTTACTTGTAACTTCCAAAGGAATGTTTAAGCACTAAACTATTAACTACACGTGTATGTTTGCCAAGTAAGATTATTCCGAGGTAGACATGCTTCAAATGAAAAATGTTCGAAATTATTTTTTAAATTTTGCAGTATCTTACATTCACATACCTCATAAAACGGTGTCTCATTTTTCCAAAAATTTATTATCAGGCAAGCGGTAGCACTGCCTATGTAGGGATGGCTCGGATTGTTCATGGAAATGGTATTTTAGATATCTCCTCATCAGAACTTAAAAATACTATACAGTGTTTTCTTTTATAACAATATCTATGTAGTGACTGAGTCACAATTTCTGGGAATGTCTGTAAATATCATTGCAGAAAGTTTGAATTTTTCATTCTTCTTTCTTCTGCTTCTTTATTATTACATGATAACTCAAAAACCAAAACCATGGTTCGACCATTTTCACTGAGGTGGCATAGTTTCAAACAGAGTATCTGCTTTTATAAGTATTATTAACAACTAGTAGTAATTTAAATGAATCATAATTCTGGTCATTAAATGACGCATTGAAGTTATCTTTCTTAAAGAAAGTTGGGGTTTCTTTAAAAAGATTAAGTACAGAGTGAAACAAGAATTACCAGTCAATAATATATAAATAATAAATAGTACAGTTGGAACCTCAGTGTATTTAGAACTTGGTTATAAATACAACCTTCCTATGTATATTGAAACACTGCATAAAAAAAAACAAGTAAAGAAAAAACTTTTCAAAACAGGAAGTAAATGTAGGGATGGCTAATATCAATCCTTCACAAAGAATGCAAACAAGATAGAAGGTGTGGCACTTGCATTGTTTTGGAAGAATTGATATTAGCCATCCCCACATTTACTTCCTTTTTTGAAAAGTCTTTTCTTTACTTGTACACTCAGAATGCCCAAATATAGCTCTTAATAAATTTTCAACTATAAGTACTTGGGGTCTTCTCTGTAGCCATAGATTTTACCAAAAGAAGGAAAAACGTAAAATCAAAGTTCATATTTGCTAAAAGATATTGAGAGCATTCAACAAATGATTTTTTTCCTCTTTGTTATGTTTTATGAAAAACAAATAAACTGTCACATAAGCTGTCATTCTAGAATTTGAAGTAATTCATCCGCACAGTATATGTGGAAATGATACTATATTTGTAAGTTTTCCAGAAAAAAGTAACGTTGTACCCTAACAGCTTATACTTGAGTTCACAAACAAAATAACGTATATGTAAGAGAGTAAATCGGTAAAGTTTCAGTAAATGCTCAATACACTAGGGATTTTTATATGTATTTGTTTCTAATTAATAATTTACTGAATTTTCAGAAATACACTAAACATGCCACTAGAAACAGTCTGTATGAAACAAAAATATTACTTTAGAACTGGTACTGATATAATTTATGTTAACTTAACCACGATCATAAATTGCTGGTGCCTTATATCTGTTTCTTTCTGTTTACGTTAGATGGCGATAGTATCGTACTGGTCAGCAATTATAATGAGCTAAAGAATATGTTTTTTACCTTCTTTATTGATAGAGCTATTGAAGTAGAACAAGGTTTTGATGAGAATGACGAGCTTGTTGGACGATCACCTCCAACTTTCTTCTCTTCCTATCATCGCCTAGATGAGGTAGTAGAGTATTCAAGTATCACGTTTCTGCTAAAGTATGTCGAAACTTCGGCATAGTGGTGGATATTTATCAATACTTTAGTTACCTTTTATATCAGGGCATTCGCAATGAAAAATATAAAATGTGTTTTGTTTTAATTTATTTTGCATTTCAACGCTTCGAAATTCAACTTTTTTTTCCATAAATATAGGTAACAATGCAAATTAATATTTTGGCAACTAAGCAAAATCTATAATTTAATGTTGTTGTTTTTTCGTTTTCTGGATAAGTTATGTTAGAAGTAGGAATATTTTGCATTTGTGCAAACAAAATAATGAATTAAAGTATTACAAAAGGGTATTTTTTATCGAAATAACTGAGCACTTCTGCCAGGTTATTTTTTAAAGCTGTTTTTAAGTCATTTATGACAATTCTACTTCAAAACAGATCCACAAATACATGAAATCACTGGAGTCAAAATATCCCAAACTTGCTTCGACTTTTTCTATTGGAAAATCATTCGAGGGTCAGGATCTGCTCGTTTTAAAGGTAAACAGTAATGAAATCTGCTTAAAATAGTAAAATATACATAATTGAAAATGTATTTCCTGATTATTAGAGGAACTTTATGAATAGTTCATATTTTTTATATAAATCAAATAATAAAACGTTAATTAACATTATGGAAGGTTAATTAAATTATTTGAAAGTATTGTTACTGTCTTCTAATAACATTATATGTGGTATTTAACTGGCAAAGTGATATGTCTGCGGACTTATACTGCTAGAAACCGATTTTCGATACCCTTGGTGGGCAGAGTACAGATAGCCCTACGCGTAGCTTTGTGCATAATAACAAAAGAAATAAACTGACAGTAAGCAGAAATAATGAAAGCTTCTTGAAGATTTAAATGTCGTATATGTACAGTCAGATGTTTGTATTTCTTGGGAATTGAATCTGAAAGCGTCCAAAGTATTCAGTCTAATACTATTAATTTTTTTGGAATGGCTTGATATTACACTTTTCCTATAGAGTATAGACGATTATTATTATCCCTCTTTCCACGCTCCCAGTGGCAGAGTGGCATGTCTGCAGACTAACAACGCTAGAAACCGGGTTTCGATACTCGTAGTGGGCAGAGCACAGAAAGCCTGTTGTGTAGGTTTTTGCTTAAACTACAAACAAACTGTCCACGAGCATCTTTTTAGGTGCATGTCACGAAGTTTTATTGATACATTCAAAATTTAATTAAACTGTTCTTTTTTCATGGTATATCAATACATATAGCCTAAAAGCATAGTTAATAATCCATATTTTAATAGTATATAAGTTGTAAGTTCTTACTTTTATAGGGCAATATATAAAAAAATAATTTCCCCTTGTGTGACAATTGTGACATTTGTTCTCTGTCTAGGCATCCCCTCTTCGCTAATTTAGTTACCACCTCACCAAGAAGTACAAAATTTTACGTAAGTTACTTATTATAATATCGTCATCGCTCAGGCAAAGTATAATTTTGCAATCTTCAATCTTATTTGGTTACAGGGTCATGAAATTGACAACCAGAACCCTCTTGCAACGCCCATCTGTCACATCCTCTCTTTCAGAAATTGAAGTTCAGTTCTACATTATTTATAACCAATAGAAAGCCAAGGTTTTCATTTATCAAATATTTTTTTATTTTATACGTCGCTAACAATGCTTTATTTATATTTTGTTACGTATTATCGACTTTTCTCGCTCCACACGTTCAAATTTCATCTGATTTTCCACCATAATCAGTTGTATTTTGATCTTTGCCTGAAATAGGCCTAAGTCCAAAACATTGCGAAATAAATCCATTTAGTAAGAACTTTATCTACTTCTTTTTATTGTATAATTTTAATAATAAAGATGTGTTTCTTAACTTAAAGCTGACCTACTGAATTTAGTAAAAATATTGTTTTTAAAAATGTTTTAGTCGGTAGGTAATGATTCATTTCGGGTAATGTAACAAGAATCCTTTTTTTTTATATAGACTTTATTTCGAACTGTTAACACGGATTTACTTTAAAAACGTCGTGGTAAATCTTAATGTCTGCGGACTTACAACGCTAGAATCCGGGTTTCGATACCCGTGGTGAGCAGAGCACAGATAGCCCTTGTTTAGCTTTGTGCATAATTAAAAAACAACAACAAACAAACAACTTAATGATGGAGCGTGAGTTGGAAATGTGAGAAGAGAGCTGATGGTTGTAGATTCCTTCAGTTCTTTAGTTAGGATGATAATATGTGGTGTAAGAAGCACCTGTATAATTTTCTTATTTTAACTTTTGATCTATTAGAATGATTTTTTACTTTTTTTTCTAGTAGCACTGATTGATTTTTGCGTTAAAGATAAAAATATATGATCCCAAGTTTTTACATTCTCCGAGATATACTTATAGCGCTAAAATTCTCCTTAAAAAAGGCCATTCACCTTCATTGGATCTGGCGTCATAGCAGCGTGGATGTTTACCATGCCTTTTCTATCCTTCTAAGAAAGAGTGTCCTATGTGTTTCTAGCTTAAACTGTTGATAATCCATGAATATGACTAGTCTATCTTGTCGAACGGGCGCGGCCAAGCGATGAAGTTCGTGGTTTGTATCTCATTTTTTACCTTGTTCAACATAGCTTGCTGAAGATGGACTATTTACATTCCGAAACGTTCAAGAATTAAATGTTAGTTACCGTACACACACGTGTTAAATGTTTGTTGTTGTTACCATTGTTCTATTGTTCATCATTCAACTTAGTTCTCCAGTGCCGCAGCGGTATGTCTGTGGACAGCTACCGATAAAAAATGGGTTTCGATACCCGTGGTGGGCAGAGTACAGATAGCCCTTTGTGTAGCTTTGTGCTTAATATTAAACAACAACAACCATTCAAATTCGTTTCCCGTCGAATGAATCTGTGGATAAGAATTAGTTAGCATGTTTCTAGACAACATTTAGGTAGCATCGTTTCCACGGTATTATTACGTCATTAAGAGTGAGTTAGCATGTTTTACACAATACAGTTGTTCTATTTTCAGTATAAGATTACACCCGTGTATAAGTAATATTATCATAAAAAATTTATGATCTTTATTGTTTTAGGATTATTACTATTTTTTATTCACATATATTTAAGTAAGTACTTCGGAATATCATGAACCACTATAGTGGTTCATAATAGGGATCGCAAGGAATTGCACAAACCCTAGTAGAACGTTCTGGCAAAAAGCACCTTAAAGATTCAGTTCAAACAACACTTTAAAACCTTTACTATCGACTGTTAAGGCTTTACACACATAAAAATGCACAAAAAAAACACGCATGTTACACTTACAAGGAAAAGAATATCCGCTCAAAACGGCTCTTTTGTAATTCTTGTTATTATACTCTTGCCAGCCTACAACACAAATAGTTTGGTATATTGCACCCAAATATTTTGTAGAATGCTAAATAAGGTGCTGCGAAGGTCTTAGGGGTATTGAAAAGTCAATTTGTTTCTTTTATATTTTAAATAAGCTAAAAACATAATAATTATAGTGTAAATGATGTTACCATTAACCCCTGGAAGTTATCTTTATTTCGAACGTCTGGTGTTCCTTTCAAAAAGCTTAAGTACAGGGTGAAACAGGAAAACACAGCCAATAATAGATGAACATTAGATGATTGTTTGTTTGTTGGTTTGTTTGTAATTAAGCACAAAGCTACACAATGGGCTATCTGTGCTCTGCCCACCACGGGTATCGAAACCCGGATTCTAGCGTTGTAAGTCCGCAGACATACCGCTGTGCCACTGGGGGCTTAGATGATTGTAACATGTACATACTTAATACTATACAATAAGTGTCTTTAGGGAACCAACCTCTATATTATGTATGAAGTGAAGAAGTAAAAAATAATCAATACACATAATATTAAATTTTATTACACACATTCGTAGAATAATTACCTTAAATGACACGAAGGTTTATTTAAAGCAGTGTTTTAGACAAATCTGTTTTTTTAAAGGCTCCTTTTCTGCTGGTAAAATTTTATACGCACTTAATAGGGGTTGTATCTTAGTCTAGGCATATATTTGCCCATTGGTATACATTATATAGAGAGTATTTAGTTACACAGAAATTATAAATGCTCAGTATATTCTTAAACAAATCTCCATGACAACCTCCAGCTGCAGCTTGACGTTTTACATCTCAAACTAATGCGATCAGAAAGTCAATAGCTACAGTAAATCATCATCAACCGTATCAGCTAGTTATTAGCTATGTTTATTATCATTACAATGTATAAAGTTAGCTACCATATCAAGTAATCCTTTGCCCAAAGTTGAGCTTAAAAAAAGCCAGCAAACAAGATAAATAAAAAAGTGGCAATTTAAAAACCTATAAATGGGGATCTTAAAAAAAAAGTAAGGAGACAAGGATGGAGATACTACAGACATTATTGTCTCAAATGCAAACCCTATTTTAGCTCCATGCTGTTACCTAGAATTACATTTGGTGGAGTCAAAATAGGTATTTTTAGTTTGAGTAAGTAATGTCTACAGTACCTCCAGTCTTGTTTTCTTACTTTTTTTTACGATCTTTATTCGCAGGTTTTTAAATTCCCAATCTTTTATTTATCTTGCTGTGTGATTATTGTGGTACATAAAAAAAGCAAATAACATTAAATATCTCGCCTAACAGTTGTGATTAATTTATTTTCGTGTTGGTATAGATTTTTCTTCCCTCCAGATTAGAAGTGGTAAAGAGACAAAGAAGAAGCCTATTATTTGGATAGACGGCGGTACTCATGGAAGGGAATGGATCACTTCTGCTAGTGCTCTTTATATCGCAACCAAGGTAAGAAAGAAGACAAAATATCTGGAATATTGGTTAGAAATATTTTAATAAGTCCATAATAGTTGCCCTAAGAATCCTAGTTGTCCATTTTACTTTTTAAATTAAGTACCTGCTAATGTATATATTTTTAATATTTAATTCTGATCAGAGCAAGTTACCTACTTAGATCTAAAATAACAATCAACATCAACACGGTAATGAGTATAGCTAATTGAATATACTGTTCATGCGTTTTAATTTATAACGATTAGAATGTATTGTTTCTTCAGTTGCATATCCTCGCTGTTAACGATATTTTTGGACGTAAATCGGTGACGGTAAACCCCATAACACATCACGATGACGGGGATTCGAATCCGCTACCCACAGATTGCGAGTTGAACATCTTAACCACCAGGCTTTGCTAGGCTAAATCGTTACACAGTTACTTATATTTTACGAGTCAATATATCTGACGCTCACGCCTCTCAAAAGTCGGTTCAGTATAAACGTACTTCCATTACTTAAATAAATGGTTTACTTAGATAAAGTGGACGCAACAAAATTAGATTTTCTAATCCTTCTATCCAGCTTCTACGTGGATGACCTGAATCTCGATTACCTCCCGGTCTGCGTGTTCTTGCACATGGAGGAACATGACCCGTATATCTCTATCCTCTATCGACTCGTTCTGAGTTTGCAAGTTAAGTTGGTCCTTTTGCGAAAGATATTCTGTGTATAGAAATACGTAAAGATAAGACTAAGAACTGGAATGTGCTGCTGAGTGTTTTTGGGGTAAAATCTGTTGAACTGGGATGTGCTAATGACTATTTTTGGAGTAAAATCTATTGACCCGGAAAGTGTTGCTGAATGTTTTTGGAGTAAAATCTCTTGACCCGGAAAGTGCTACTGAATGTTTTTGGGGTAAAATCTGTTGAACTGGGATGTGCTAATGACTATTTTTGGAATAAAATCTGTTGACCCGGAAAGTGCTGCTGAATGTTTTTGGAGTAAAATCTGTTGACCCGGAAAGTGCTGCTGAATGTTTTTGGAATAAAATCGGTTGACCCGGAAAGTGCTGCTGAATGTTTTTGGAATAAAATCTGTTGACCCGGAAAGTGCTGCTGAATGTTTTTAGAATAAAATCTGTTGGCCCGGAAAAGTGCTGCTGATTGTTTTTGGAACAGTTTCTTTGTGACAGACGCTCCTTTTTGTTTTTATTTATTTTATCTGTACATTTTAATTTCTTGATTACTTCAGTAAACGGAGTGTGCTTAAGTGTATGTTTTATGACTATATGAAAATAAATGTTTCATAAATTATTTATTAATTACGATTCTATGTGTTATGTTTACGTTCTCTCGCCATTTGTCTTGTTATTATTCTTATTTTATTATCTTTTATGAAGCTTCTGAACGAATATGACTTGGATGCCAACATCACAAAATTGATAGATTTTTATGAGTGGTATATTCACCCAGTTGTGAATCCTGATGGTTACGAATACAGTCATACTACTGTAAGTATCATACCTTGTTATATATATTTTGTATGCATTGAGCTGTTTTAGCGCAGACTTAGATATGATATTATTCAGATATATACGACAAAAAAAAATATATATACAAACCTGAATTTAGAAAATTGCAAAATTTTACACGTTACAGTTTAGCTGTTTCTTTTTTCTTAAGTTATTGTTGTATTTCATTAAGGAATAATAATTGAAGTTCGATCCCCGCTTACACCGAGCATGATCTAGTCGTTAGCATGCTGGATTATGGATCTGCGAATCCACCATTCGTGTTCCGTTATCGAAAAAAATCCCGCTATTCTGTTTGTTTGTAATTAAGCACAGAGCTACTCAATGGGCTATCTGTGCTCTGCCCACCACGGGTATCGAAACCCGGTTTCTAGCGTTATAACTCCAAAGACATACGGCTGTGCCACTGGGGTCCCGCTAATCTGTTAGACAAGAGTTTGTGGTGGGTGCCGTTGAGTAGTTTCCTACCCCTTAGTCTGTCAGCTATATAATTAGGGACGGCTTTCGCAGATACTCATTGTGTAGATTTGCACGAATATATACAAAAATAAGAGACAAATCGATCTCCGTGGCGAACGCAGCACAGTTCGCCTATTGGGTACATTAAAAATAAACACCTCTCGCTACTAATCACTGTATTAAACCTAGCGTTTTCTAGTACAGTTGTATTGCCGTAAATACTTCGTTATTTGAGTATCATTTACTTTAACCCTTGTGTCTCTCACAAATGTCTTGTGCGATCCCAAATCACAATGAATTCAAACAATTGTGAATACTAAGTTATCTTGCTGTCACGGATCTGTACTAGTTCTTTGATTTTTCGCATGGCGACTTGCGATTTTTTTAATAAAGTAAACGTTAATTCACTACGTTGTTTCTGAAGGAAACCGTTTAAAATATGAACTGTAATGTAGTAACAAAAATCTTGCTTGTTTAGCAGTGTGATAGTATGAAAGTAAAGCAAGCTTTATTTGCACTAGAGATTACTATTCTGGACAGAATGTAGCAACGCTTGCCTTGATAACTTTACTGAATATTAGCAGTACTTTTAAACGATGAAGAAAATCCGTAATTTCAGCAGCATTTATAATTTGAACTATATAAATCCATCAGCTTACGTGAAAGACATAATTTAAGCGGAAATGTATTTCAAATTGTTAAGATTAATGATAATAAAACATTACACGAATCGAAACCCGATTTTTAGCATTATAAGCTTCATACGGGAAGATTTTCTATGTTACCAGTGTCCCTCTGACCCTGACCTTTGAAGTTAAACAGGTCTAGAACTTTGTATTTAGTACATGTTGTACAAGTTTGGTCAAAATGCATCCATTCAATTTTGAGATATCTTGTCCACAAAAGTGAGAGGGACAGACAAACGGACAGTACCAAACTAATATACCCCGCTCTGTGATGATTCGCAGTGGATACTTAAAAAGTATACTCTCGGTTATTCGTAAGAGATAAAAGTGTATTTAACAATTTTGTTTGTTTGTTTGAAGTTAAGC